CCCCCGCCGCCGCCGCCGCCGCCCGCCGGGTGCTGCTGGTTTGTGTAGTAGCTGCTGTCGGTAGCTGTGGACACCGGAAGAGTGGGCGACTCCTGGGGCTTGTGCAGGCTGCTGCTGCTGCTGCTGCTGCTGCCGCCGCCCGGGCCGGCGCCGCCGCCGCTCGGGGGCTGCTGGTGCTGGTGGTATGTGCTGGAGGCCGTGATCTGGGTCGAGTGCATATCAGCCACCAGACTGTCAAAGACTCCAGTCATCCTGGCCCGGGACGGGAAAGAACAGGGGTGGCGGGCGCGCGGGGGAAGCGAGGCGCCTCCTCCGTCTCTCCCGGTCCCCTCCAGCAGCCAATGTAATTACGGGGCGGGGGGAGGAAAACAAGAAATGAGGCAACGGTCTAGGCGCCTCCTCCTCCGGGGGAGGCGATCACCGTGCGCTGCTCGGGACAGCTGCCGCCGGCGGCATCCTCTCCCGGCCTCTCGGCCCGCTCGGCTCCTTGCCCGGCGCGGGCTCGGGCGGGGGGCGGGCAGTGGAGGGTGTAGGAGTGGCGGGACCGGGTCGGTACTCCGGCAGGCGGGAGCAGGTGAGCAGCCCTGAGCGGCCTTACGATTGTCTGCTAGGCGGGCTCCTGCAGGGTGGGCATTTAACACCTGTCACGTGAGCGCAGGCGACGTCACCTAGCAACAACCAATTAGAGGCAACCAGCCGCGGAGCTCCGGGCGCCCCAGAACGCCTGGCCGGGGGGCGGGTGTCACATGGCGGGCGCAAACAGGCTGCAGCTGAGTGCGAGCAGCGAGGCGAGGGGCTGAGGTGGGGGGTAGTCAGGGTGACCCGCAGCAGGAGGACAGAAGGCGTGAAGACAGAGACGGGCATTTCGCCTCAGAAGAAGTGGGGTCTCCCATCCCATTCTGTGTGCAAGCGCCAATTCCAGTGATTCGAACCTGCGTGTCGGAGGTCAGTTTTCAAAAACATTAATCAAAATAAATCGGTGCCGAGAGCCCAGCCCGCTCTGTCTCCGTTTTTCCTCGAAGTGTCTAGCACTTACTCTTGTCAACCACTCCGCACTTGACAAAGTCAATTGATTTAAATTATCCATAAACCACGTTTAATAATACCTGCTTCCTAACCAACCCACAGGGATATAGGACAATTAATTAGATAATATTTAAACGTTTCCCCCCTATTGCTTGAGAGAAAAGCTATATAAACTCAAAGGTATTATTGCTAATAACATATTTGAAACCACTTTCCCTTGTACCTCCCTGACACGCTGAGGCTCTGAGTAATTATGTATATTTGATGGGTAATTGACACCCGAAAAGCGATCCTGGGGACTTTCTTCTAAGGGTGGAAAGGTAGACCAGACTGACCAGATGGGCTTCAAAGCTCATTGTGACTCTAAATTCGATGTTTTTTACGAAAAAGGAAGGGGGATAATACTTAGGAGAGATCATAGATTTATCAGGTCTTGGTACTAGATTTATCACGTCTTGGCTAACTTACAAGAACAAATATAATATAAAAAACACTTAATTTAATCCTATTTTACAGGTTTGCACTTTAGGACCCTGTTCCCCCCCGATCATTGCAATTTCATTTTCTCCTCCTTTTTTTTTTTTTTTTTTTTTTTTTAATCGGAAGTGGCGACTTCCTCTGTATCTTACACCCTTGTATTTGGGAACCTTGGCCGGACGGTTATGGACACATACCTTGAAGGACTCCGAGTCTGACGCTCCTGCGGCAATGCCTGCTTTGTGGCTCCACCTGGTGGACAGTGTGGGACGTTGCGGCGGACCACGTAGACGGTCTAATCATGCCCAGGCGCCAGCCTCTGAACCCCCGCTAAAAGAACAAAATAGTAATTAAAAGCCACGAAATTGTGCTAGCGCGCGCCATCTGAAGCTCCCCTTCCTAAAGACATAACATGTCGCTGAAAGAACTTGTTACAACAACTGCCTAATGGAAAACAAGTTGATACTCTGAAAAATCCGATCTTTGGTCTTCCCTAGGAAAAGCAAGAGTGTAATTAAAAAACTCCACCATTCATACAGCGGAATAATGAGGCAGATAATGCGCCTTTAAGCCTACCTGGATTTAGTTCCCAGCCCCTAGATGTGGAAGAGTGAGCTCATTAGAAAGCTTCGTGGTGGGACTCACCACCAGACTGTACTGCTTTTACGCTGCGCTCTGCCTGTTGCTTGGTGGCCCCCAGTTACAAAATTAACCTCTTGATATTTAATCAAGATTGCCTTTTGGTGTCTTGATTTCAAATTCCAACTATTTCTTTCTGTCACCACAGTGGTAGCTGTTTTGACCTAATATAGAAAACTTTTCCCCTGAAAATAAACTGCTAAAAATCCAACGGCCATAGTCTTGCCAACTTCTTTCTGCTCCTTTGTTCCCACCCCAGGCATGTCCTCCAGACTTTTTCATGGTGGGAAGTTGTACTTTATTTCTTCTCAAACTTCCATTAACAGCCTAAAGTCCAGGTCAGCTGAGATTTGGAAAGTAGCATCTTTTCTGGAAGTAAATACGACTCGAAATCAAGGGATTGCATGTATGAGGGAAAAGAGGCCAGGCCGGAAGCACTGAGTAAGGGAGGGAGGGAAGTAGGGGAAGAGTGGGGGGCGGGGAGAGAAAGAGAGAGAACCCACAATTGCATTTCGAAAATCAAGTAGAGAGACTTGAGGTATTAATTCTGATAATTCGAACACAAATCTGGGACTGACCACATCATCTGATTACTGCAGCACAATATCCAAATGATTTACTTACTTTGGTCTAAAGTTAAGGGAGACAGTACCATAGAGATCTGACACTTTTGCCCACAGTTCAGAGCAGGCTGATTCTCCTCTCCACAGTGATCTCAGAGGAGTGGGGGGGCTTAGGTTGAGTTTGGAGGAGTGCTTGAGTGTGGCCAGCTTCCTCCGCCTCAGGGCACCCTCTTTCCCCCTCTCTGATTTCGGTTTTCTCTCTCTGCTTGGGCATTCTTTTACTCCGCAGGGACCTAGAGAAGGGTTGGGAAATGAGGTGCCTCTCCTCTGGCCTTGTGTGTTTCAGTTCCATAGCTGAGACCTTTCCTCTGCAGACCCGGTACCCCAGGCTGTCGCCGCGGCACTTCATCTGGTCACAGAGTCTCGCTGTCTCCTCCCAAGGGAGCGTAGCGTCAACCCTTGCGCCAGGCAGAGACGGACTAATCATTCCCATTGTACAGAGGAACACTGAGGCCCGAGGACGGAAACGACTTCCTTTGAGTTAGGTGCACCCCCCCCCCCCCCCCCCCCCCCCCCCCCCCCCCCCCCCCCC